TTTGACTCATGAATTTTCCTACACCTATTATACAAGCATTTGATCAAAGGATTTATCATCATCCATCACAAATAACTTTTTGTCAAGATTATGGTATACATGCTAATTTCCAATAAATTCTATCTTCCATCAAGCTTCATTTGCATGACTTGTTCTTCATTCTCCAATGTTGCTTCAAGCTCATTCTTCCACTACAATGCTCATTTTGCTACAAGGAAGAATGTACACCAAGTTAGACATTCATATCATGAAGTTAAATAAAAAAGTCATGGAAAAGTCCTGGAAAACTCAAGTAACTTAGAAAAATTCTGCACTATGTAGAAAATTCAATAATTGTTTTTCAACACTTTCCAACATTGATTCATGCCCAAAAATTAAGAATTTGATCAATGAGTTTATACCATTCAAAAATGATTATTTTCAACACCAAATCACTTCTCAAAAACATTTAAAATCATGAGATAATTCACCAAAAATTCAAAACAAAAGTGGTGAAAAATCAAAGGCCAAATCATTTAAATTCAAGTTAATTACTAGTAACTCTTTGCCTTACATTCCAACTTGGTACTTTTGCAAAACTCAAGCACCATTTATCTCTAACTACCTATGCATTCACAAACCCTCAATTACACAATTAACCATTAACTACCATAACTACCAAACTAACACAAATTAATGTAATTATTACATAAGCAATATTTTTAGAAGAAAATAAATGGCTATTAGTGTGCTAGTTGTCCCATATTAATACCACATAATTGCTCTCTATTATGGTCTGGCTGTAAACATAGGATATTTCCAAAAATATCAATTTGTATAGCTTAATCTTAGGAGAGGGGTTTATGAGCCTCTTTGTATAAATATTTCCAGATATCAATACATACAGACATCAGAAAATTCTCATCAGTTAAGTAAACAGTTTGTTAGTTTTATTTAATTAACACACCCTATTTTAATAGGTTTAATTTGTAAAAGGGATTTTATACAATGATTCATACATGAACATACAGTCTAAGTAAACATACATACAACAACCCGAACACAATAAAATATACAAAGAGAAGAAGAAAGAAGAATAAATTTCTCACAGTTTGTCATCTCCGATTGAACTTCTCACAGTTTGTCATCTCCGATTGAAGTATGATTTGGCTCCTAATCATCTAGATGCATCGGCCATGTGTTCTTTCTAAGCTAAAACTACTAAAGAATATGATTTTGATCAATTGGGTCCAAAGGCTTCCAAAAGATGGCCTAAAATAAATCTGAAAATGTGACTTTATAGGCAAAAATGGGCTCTCGTGCTCGCTAGGCGAACTACGGTTCGCACCGTGAACATACCAAACATAGCTACTACCTAAAACAGTATTTTTCCATGCTTCTGGGCAATTTTTGTTCTCCTTAGGTTCACTGGGCAAACTCTTGGCGAGCTCGCCCGCCTCTAGTTCGCACAATGAACATGACAGCAAACTCATAACTTGTTTCGACCATAACTTGAGAATCATAACTCCGTTTACGTGCGGTCGGATGAAAAACTTATTCAATACTCTATAAGAAAATGAAAAAATATCATTGCTTGTATAACTACAAAAATGAGAGAAAAACTATCAAACTCAAAGATATGTACATAAGTATGCATATTACACACTATAATATAAACTACACAAAACATACACTAAAGTTGGGATTTATTATTATAATTAAGCTGATAAGTGCCAATTATTTATACTCAAAATCACTACAATTTAGCCCTTAACAACTTTGTAAGAAACAAACCACAAAATCCAACAACAAAACATAAAGCATATTCATTACAATAATCCAACTCTAAATCTTAAGCGTATGGAAAAAGAATATGAACATCAAAATCAAACAAGAGAGTGAAAATGGTGAAGATTATCAAGAATTAGGAAGATGAGGAAGAATAACTTAAACCTCTCCCAAGAATCTGCATTAGTTCCATACTGCTCATATTATGATTAGAACATTTGAGTGAAAATAACTTAAACTATTCCCAAGAATCATAGAGAGATTCAGTTTCTTGCCGCTCGAAGTGAGTAATTTCAACCTTTCTTTATGTGAATTATGTTATAGTGAAGAATCTTTACAAAAATTTGTCTTCCGATTCCCTCAAAGTTTTGATTACTCCATTTGAAAGTAATAATACTTAATCATTCGCTCTAATTTTAGTTTAACCTAATCATCTATAATACCTTATGGTTAACACATCGATGTTGTCTCGTAGAATCGTGCTAGATGTTCTCATGACTCACCTGTTGTGTTACGTCAAATTGCTTATCTAAAATATGAAAGCACTGAGTATTTGATGTTGAAATTTGCTGAAGTGGCTGGGATAGAACTCAGAGAAACTTGTGTTGCATCAGTAGGCATGCAGTAGTCCCCCAATAATTTGTGTTGTTATTTCTGCCATGATTGCTTTCTCTAAGCCTTAAAACTGAAATGTACCAATAGAAAACAAATACCCACAATAGTGTTGCAATTAAAAAAAAAAGAAAAAAGAATTAACTAGTGTAAAATTAAAAAAAAGAAAGAATTAAAGCGTTGCACAAGCGTTGCCTTGTTGAAATTATCAATAGTCTCCGGCAACGATGCCAAAAACTTGATGATTTCTCGGCAAGTGTACCGAGAATATCACAATAATAAAAAGATATAAATTTCACATGGACTGCTATTTAACAAAACAATATTTGTACAAGCATAAAAATTAATAATTGGGGCGAGGTTGAATGCGAAAAAATAAAAGTTGTTCTGAAATAATTACAAAAGCAGTCAAGTTTTGTATAGAAACCCTTATTTCTCCACTATTGATATCTGATGCATTACATGAATGAGAAAGTCATTATATTTCCACGACGAATCAACACAACCATTATACACAATCTCTTGGTGTATAACTCACTAATTCCTACTCGGGGTCTCATATCCCTATTTGACCAACGTAAGTGAAATTAGGCGATGCAATAGAACGTTAGTTCAAATGCCACTACTCTGTGTCTCCTATCCCTATTCATTCAGCGTAAGTACAATAATTGTCCTAGTTCCAACACATATACTAATGATCAGTATTCCCTATACGCCAAAGATCAGATTAAAAGAGTATCTCACATGAAAATTGATCTGGCCTGATCAGAAGGGAATCAATGACCTGCCACGCGTCATTGATCTACTAGTTGTTCACCGGAAGTATGAAAGAGGAGGGGGTGTACCTACAAGGCACTTCGATGCCAAAGTAAGTAATGGACCAGAGTGGGAGCAAATATAGAAGAGAGTTTAAGAAGTGAATACCCAACCCTCTAGTGAAAGAGGTTATTTATAGAGAGACCCCAGCGCAGAGCCAGCGGTCACTTGTGTTGGGCTGGATTGTCAGGTCCAACCCAAGTGACTGATAGGGCTTACGTGGCGTAGTGAAGACCAGCACGTGGTCTTCGCCCTAGTTCAACCGTCCCGTGATCTCCGGAAGATGGGCTGACCAGTTCATCCGGAGGTGGGTAGTTGTCTGATGACGTGTTCTCACAGGGGAAGAACGTGTGGAGGACGTGTTGTTCTGCCCGACGGAGGGAGTATCCTGCTCGACGAGGGAGCTGTCTAGTCGACGGGAGAGCCTGTGCCCGACACTGGGCAATTTGGGTCTATTTGGGCCTTCCCCAAATAGCGTTGGGTTGGGCCTGCCCGACAGATGGGCAGACCTGGGCCCATTCCAGAACAAAAACCATTAAGCAAAATAAGCAATTGAATAAAAATATAACTCCAATTATTCATGCAATGACAAATTAAACATATGTTCCAACAGGTTCAAAATAAGTTTATCAAACAAAACCTAACTTAGAGATGTTTAACTACTCATAATGATACAATAAAATACAATGTAATGAGATAAAGTTTGCATATGAAAATCCTTAAAAAAAACTGACCTCCAATGGCTTCCAATGCTCTCAAAATCGCCATCTTGGTGTTCTTTATCGTCACTTTCAGTCTAATTTCACAGGACCTTTGAAAAGATGTCAAAACCTCCCTACAGCTGTCAAATCAGTCCAGAACACGTCATAATAGGCCCAAAAAGGACCTATTGTGTGTGTAATGTTTTTCATTGCGCGCGCGATGCTTACAAAACTTTTTTATCACGCACGCGATGCTGCACGTGATTATTCTAGTAGTTACAATTGTTTTGCTCTTTTTTCCATCATATTTTTACAAAGTACTTATTTCTTCATACTTGATCAATTTTACATCTTTTTTTAGTCTTTATTCTTCATTTTTACTCCTCCTTAACTTTTTTTTATCCGTTTCTTTGACCGAAAAATACAATGACAGAGTGTCATCAATGCTCCATTTCACCCTCGATCTACCAAACTAGAAATTTATAACACCCACTCCAATTTTTGGAGGATATTAAACACAATTAATTTTTTGTTTAGTTTATTTTACATGTTAGTTTTATTTAACTAATACACCTTATTTTGATAGGTTTAATTTGTTTCTTGTTTACCTAATTCTCTACATAAATATTGTGTCAAACATTATTGTAAAAACTAAGTTGAATTAATACGATTCTCTTTCCTTTCTTTCATCTTCATTTTCCTAGTAATGGAAATATTATAAATTTGTGTTTGTCCAATGGATATGGACTAACAAAAACCGTATTAGTTACTATGTGTATGTGTACTAGTGTTCTATTTGAACATCATTTCCTAAGCACTACATAGGACAGTTTAGAAAAGAAGAAGAAGAATCAACTTAGGATTATCCAAGTAATATATTTTTACCCACAAAAAGACACTCCATAAATACACATACACACAACCACATACAAAATAGGAAGCAACCTTCAAAATTTCCCTCACAAAGTACAAACCTCAAAAAACCCCTTCATCTACGCAATGTTACTCACTGCTCATGAAATCAAAACCACTCCCCTAGTAATCAATAACAGTTTCATACTGTTTTTTTTTCTCCTTCCCAAACTCAAGAACAAAACACAACCAATGACATACTCAAAACAACACAGCAAAAACTACGTTGTTATACGACCATGCATCTGTCTATTATGGACAGTAATTCTAGCAGCCTTTGTAACAGCAGCGTTTCTACTATGGCCGGTCGATCCAGAAATCGAAATGGAGAAGTTAACGGTGAAACGAGCCAAGGTTCATCCTCTACCGCCGTTAAGTGCTACCGTGTGGTTGTCAGTGGCGGTGAAAGTTCACAACAAGGTTCTGTGTTGGATGGAGCTGAAGGGGGTTGACGTCGGGATAAAGTATCGTGGACAGAAGCTGGGTCATGTGGAGACGGAGGGTTGGCATGTGGTGGGGTGGGGCTCGGCTCATGTGTTTGGTGATCTTGAGTTTGGTGGACTGCCGTCTCCTGAAGTGGCACATTTTATGCAGGATCTTGGGAAGGGTAGGATCCAGTTTCATACTGCGGTTGAAGTTATGGGAAATCTTGGACTTTTTTTCTTTCGCTTCCCTAACGTTTTCAAGGTATTGTTATTATTATTCAATTAAAACGTTATTAGAAAGATCCTAAAGTTTCACATTGATTGGAGATAGAGTATTGAAATAATTTATATAGAGTGACACTCTCACCTTACCAACCGGTTTTGTAAGGTTGTGTTAGGCCAAACTTTAATATGGTATCAGAGCATTGAAATTGTTGCGATCGCATTTCAAGCCATTGTAGCATAAATATTTCTTTTTTTTTTTCCTTTTCATCAATTCTCACAACACTTTGGTTTTACTTTTGTCTTATTCTAACAGGTAAAACTATCCTGTGAGGTATTGGTGGATACAAAAAACCACACAATTATAAATCAACATTGTATTGTAAAGGTAACCTTCTAAACCCTAATAGATAATTAACTTGATATGCCAATTAATCTGCTTCTCTTGTACTTGTACTGACTCTGTTTATAATTTCAATGACCAAATGAAGGATTAACTCCACAAATGCTCTCCAATGCAACCATGGTGTGAAGGCTTAGAAGATGTTAGTAATCTTTTATATATCTATACATATAGGTGTGTAATGCAAGTTTGATAACTTATAATTTATAAGTTAGTTTATAGAAGATGAATTTATATTGAAGAACTCATAATTTATCTGAAGATACCTGATAGTCGATAAACTAATTAATTTGTGCTATAGATATAGCCGCCTTAACTAGCTCATGGCCTACTACATTAACTTGTGACTTAGAAAACTTATCCAACAAGTTTGGACAATTACACATTGATGCATGATGTTCAATCTTTAATGATAAACTCAAAATAAGACAAACCAGAGAGGGTTTATTATAACCATCTACCATACTCTTTGCATACAACTTGTAACAAAGGAGACTTTGAGAGTGTTTTTACAAGAAAGGGCTAGAAAAAATACGGAAGAGAAAAGACAACACTTTTTAGAGAATACGCTATTGATATTTAATGAAATTTATTTGAAAACATTTAAACATATTTTAAGGAATTACATTGCTTTATAGAAAAATATTCGAAACACGTTAAAATGATTCATATCAACAACGTTTTTTCTTTCAAAAAGCGCATTTAAAATCAATAATCATTTATATAAAATTTGTTTAAAAAATTAATTAAAAAAAGTATTCATTTTAAGAGGGGATTCTAAAATTAACGCCTCTTAAAATCAATAATGTTTTTTTGTAAAAAAAGTACTTTCATTTTCTTTTATCGCGATTTTTTTTTTAAACACATGAAATTAAATAGTCTTTTTAATGCTATTATTTTTTGTTCTAAATATTTATCTCCCAACCTCACTTGTATCCATGGATTCAGAAAGTTAAGAACACAAAAAACGACAACTAGTGGCAGAAAAGAATGGACGAAAGATGGTTAGTACTCCACATCAACATAACCATCACCTTCATTGGTTTTATCCTCTCCCTCTTTGTCTCTCACATGTTTAGGTTATTGGTATGCATGCGCTTATATAGTTGAAGTATTACAACTTACATTTTAGATATATTGTTTAGGCTATGTTTAGAGCTTATAAAATTAATATAGTTATAATTTGGAAAAATTAATGAAATATGTTTAGGTTATGTTTAAAGACCATAACATTATACATATAATGTTTATTCTTTATGTAATATGTAGTTTAGTTCTGTTTATTCGAAACTTTAGTTTTTTGAGTTTTGAATAAATTGAAATTTTGTCCTCGAATAGTGGTGGGAAAATTTTTTCTATTTTATTATTTCTTATGACTTTGATTAAATAGATCTTATGGTACCGAGTTAGTGATAACATGACTAAATGAACAATTAAGTGATGAATATGAAATATATATCTTCTTATCAATTGTCAAAAGAATATGAAGATGAAGTAGAAGAGTTTATTCGGGAGTATGTTAAGAAATAATACATTTATGAAAATGATATGTTTGTTTAATCATTATTACAAAAAGTATATATCACCACAGTTTAAGAAAAGGTTTCACCATGGTTGGCTATCCATGGAAACGAGTGGTGTGATAGAAAGTGTGCTATTTTTTTTACCTTGAGGCTAAGGTTCGTAGTTAAAAACTGAATAACATGTTACACTTCACTACAGTTGGAACTTTCAATCGTGAAAAATATGTTGGGCGAGAATACGAGATTGGAACTACACGTCATTCAACATAAGATTTTTAGGATTTGATTCATATGTCAAGTTGTAACTTGTATGAGTGAATTTTGTTGTTTACCATTAATGAACTTGTTGTTGTCACACATGTTTCATGTCTGCACTTGTGGATTGTTACCTTCATAGTATTTGAACTTTCCCATGATAAGTAATGTCTTGACTTATGCTTGAAGATTGGAATGTTTGGTCTTGTAAGAACCTTTATCACCACCCCCTCTTAGGTGTTGTAACATCTTTGTTTACCTTTGGTTGTAACCATTTGATTTGATTATACTTGGTTGTAACCTTGTTCTTTGCTTCATGTTGTTACATGTTTGCCCTAATCTTTCTGGGTTGTTACCATGACTATTATACCTTCATCATGTTTGAATGAATGTTTATGTGTGTTTTAGCTTTGTTAAGTTTCTTTCCCCAAGTGATGGAACTTGTTAGTTCTCATCCAGTTGTGTTGTTATTTCCCCTATTCCAAAGGAAAGTCTCTTTGTTGACTTCACAGTTATAAATAGCTCTTTACCTCTCCCCTTGACTTGGTTAAGTCATAAGGTCATTTAACTTAGTTAAGTTAGAACCTATATCCATTAGACTTTGCTTTAAGTCTAAAAGACCTACCCCTTGTTAGGAGTATCCTTCAATTAGAACTTTAAGATAGAGTTTGTTAACTCTATGTAAGGATCATTGTCATGATTACTTGCTCCCCTTTTGCCTTTTGTCAAAGTCAATCTCCTCGTGTGTTAAACTTAGATCTAGAGAGTTTTGTCAAACTCTACACAAACATTGCTATGTTTTATTCCCCTTGGAGTATTGACCATAGTCAAGTATTCTTTAAACCCTAGTGAGGAGAACTACGGTTGCTCTGATTCCATCTTAGTCAGGATATGTAGGCATAAAATGCGATATCTTTGCAAGCAAACTTAGATTTATCCTTAGGTCTTTACCTAGAACTGTACCCTAACCTTGATCCAATAACCCTAGCAAATAACTTAGATAGCTTAGCATACACACACCCAAAAAATTCTTGTAGAGTACTACAGATGTCTAGGATGTGAAATACCTATCCTAGGCATAACCAACCCCCGATCCCCGAATCTTTAGCGTCATTGTTACATTGCGCAAATGTTTTTTCGTTCTTTAACCTTTCCTTTGGATAAATCAAAGTTCGGTGGTGAACTTCAATGAATTAAGATTCAAGTTAATAAATAGCTTGTCATCTGATTCTCACCGCAACAAATAGTAAACCATATGTGCATTGCATAATGATATTAGAAGTGCATGAAATATTATGTCTTTGAATGTTTGACTTTTTGTGGCAAAATGCTTAGCAGGCGAGAAATTGGTAGATGTTAGTTCTTCCAATGAATTTTCATGTGAGATGCATATAGAGACATTTTGGTGTTACAATTTTTGAAAGTAATGATATTTGTTTTTGATGATATATGGAGTTAAATTTGATGGAATATACACACATTCTTCATAACTCTGCTTAGATCACGGGAATACATCCCCACACAAAGAATACATTCCTTGTCCAAAAAAACAAAACAACCGATTTTTTTTCATAATCCACTTCAATCTAAAAATTGAACCTAATTGGATATTCAAGAAATGGTAGTTAGAGAAACCATGTTGTAAATAATATAATCAAAAACTAATATTTAATTATAAAAGATAAAATTACTTGGTGATAGCTTCAGCTTTGTTATCACTACAGTTGTATGTAAATGGAACCCCGTGAATCTTGTTAGTCTTTTTACAGTTTGGACAAATTTCATAGTACCAACCAAATTTATTTGGTTTGAACCTCTTAGTTGTTTCGATAGTCTTGCAGAAAGTTTCCTAGTTTCAAATTAGTATAAATAGAAGATGAATAAACAATGTAGAAAATATGGTATTAGGACATAGCAGCATAAATGACATTCAAGAATTAAATGAGGAAATATGAATAGCCGTGACTTGATGGAAGTTTGACAATTTACCAGGGCCGTAACACCTCTAAAAACAGTAGGACAAAGATTTATTTACAAAACAGGAGGATAAAGACTTATATAGAGTTAAAAAAATGGTGATATATCTTACATATTAAATAGAAATCATCTCCCCAATAATTTTTGTAACAGAATTTCTAAAATAATATTAAATAGAATGCTTGTATTATTTGAATTAATAATATAAATATTATATTTGAACTTTTTCATCTCTAATTTGAATGCTACGTGCTGAATATTGTTGGTATAATATGTAATGTCATTTGTTAGCATTTAATTAGGAACAGTTGCAACTTATAAACAATATATTGCTAGTTTTGAGCAAAACGTTGATACTGTTCGGTGTAACAAAAAACGGTGCAATACAATATTTTAAGAGATACATTTGTTCCCAAACATAATGTAGCATCATTATAAATTGAATATTTATTGATACGATGAAACACACAAAAAAATACAGTTTGTCTCAAATTATATTCTCACTCTAAATTATCTTTCTCTTCTCTAATGCATAAGAGCAAGTAAAAGAAATATTAGAGAAGTTCATACCAAGATTGGTAGGGGCGAATTGCTTCTTAAGCTTAGTGTGGAAACATACGCTTTGGAAGTTTATCAAGAAAATTTATTTCTCTATTTTCATCTCCATTAATTCTAAATTTTTCAGCAGCCCCAAAGACTATATATATAACATTCTTAAGGAACAACTTATCTCATTCAATGGTTGCTTCACTAAAAGAGATGACTTCTGACTTTGTGAAATTAGAGAAGTTCAATGGAGGGAATTTTATTCGTTGACAGAAAAAAAATGAAATTCCTTCTCACAACATTGAAAGTGGTGCATGTCCTTAACATTCCAAAATCAGAAGAAAAAGAAGATGAAACAATTGCTAAAACTAGAGAGAGACAAAAGTGGGACAATGATGATTATATATGCATGGGACACATTCTCAACGGTATGTGTGATTCATTGTTCGACATTTATCAGAGCAGCAACTCCACAAAAGAATTATGGGAGAAATTGGAATCAAGATACATGCAAGAAGATGCTACATGTAAGAAGTTTCTTGTTTCTCAATTTAATAATTATAAAATGGTAGACAATAGGCCTGTATGGAGCAAATGTATGAAATCAAACGTATTCTCAATAATTACAAACAACATGATATGAGTATGGATGAAACAATCATTGTATCTTCCATAATTGATAAACTTCCTCCATCATGGAAAGATTTTAAAAAATCTTTGAAACATAAGAAACAGGACATATCTCTTGAGCAATTGGGTAATCACCTTCGTTTAGAAAAAGAGTATCGTAAAC